CGTTCGTATATATCTTTTAGAGCTTCACAGAGACCGCTGTAAAGGGTGTGGGCTCTCTCTTTGAAGAAAGTCAACACCTGCTCTGGGTCTTTCCATTGCTACTTACTTGTATTTAAAACTGTTAAGTATTTTTCCAACCGACAAGCCTCTTCAAAGCAATAATCCAAATCAAACCAGATCAGACTGAATTAGAAAAGGCCCAGGTATAATGGGCACCAGTGTTCCAGGGTGGCCCCCAGGAAAACACGGAGAGAGGGAAAGGAAAACCCAAATGACCATCTGAGAGGGAAAAAGGGAGACCACATGTTCATTCTCACGGGGCGGGGGGGCAGTTTGAATAGCCTGTGAGAGTGATCTTGACCCTCCCTGGGGAAGGGCTACCTTTGGTGGGCATTTGTGGAGGTGAAGTCTGGACTGTGGCCACTCCCAGGAGAGGAGCCTTGGGACCTTCCATCAAACATTTTAGACTCCTTGTATATATGGACACCAGGGGGCTGGAGTGAGAGCCCCCAACTAAACAAAAAGGCAATGAACTATAAAATACGCTTAATTACTTTTCCTTTTCCCAAGGTGAAAGCCCTCTTAGTTTGTTGATGTTATTTTTTTCTTTTTTCTTTCTTTTTTTTTCTTTCCTTTTACTTCAAGCTCAATGCTTTGCTTAACAGTCATTGAAATGAGTAAATGAAATAACTCTTTTTACCTGTGGTCATGTAAGTAACAAGCAAGGTCCCCAAATTCCAATAATTGTTCCTACAAAATGGCAAACTCATCTGTGTTCTGATTTTTTTTAACACAAGATACTTTTATTTTCTTACAAGGAAGAAAGTGCCAGAAAATTTGTTAAGTATTTTTAACACTCATATTTTTTTTATTTTTTATTTTTTATTTTTTTATTAAATTATAAAAGTTTCCATTTCAGCCCCTCCTCCCAACACCCTCCCACTCCCCCCACTCCCTCTCCTCCTCCCTCTCCATCCCCTAGAGCAGTCAGGGTTTCCTGCCCTGTGGGAAGTTCAAGTTCCTCCCCCTTCCCTCCAGGTCCAGAAAAGGTGAGAGTCCAAACAGACTGGAGCGCCAAAATCCAGTATATGCAGAGGAAGCAAGTCCCAGTGTCATTGTCAATGTCTTTTCAAAAAGGCTCCGGGCCAGCCACATTCAGAGAATCTGGTTGGATCACGTCCTCGTTCAGTCCAGTCCAACAGGCCTTGGTGAACTCTCATTATATCAGTTCCCTTGTATCAGTGGGTGCTTGCATCCCTCGCAGTCCTGATTACTTTTTTAATTTTCTTCATCTTTCTATTCCTCATTTGGACCGTGGAGTGCTCAGTTCGGTGTTCCAATATGGGTCTTCATCTGTATCACCATCCAACGTTGGATGAAGGTTTCCTCTGCCCTTGCCTTCTTTGCTCACGTTCTCTTTCCTTCTGCCTCTTATTTGGACCTAGGGAGCTAGGTCCAGTGTTCCAATGTGGTTCTCCGCCTCCATCTCCATCCATCGCCAGATGAGGGTTCTATGGTGACATGCAAAATATTCATCAGTATGGTTGTGGGCCAAGGTCGGTTCAGGCACCCTCTCCTCTGTCCAGAGAACCATCTGGGGATCTCTCCTTGGACCGGGGATCCCCTTTATAATCAAGTCTCTTGTAAACCCTAAAATGATTCCCTTAGTTGAGGTATATACTTGCCTGATCCCATATCCATCCTTCCTCCCTCCCCCCCATCCCAGTCCCCCGATCTTTCCCCAATCTTCCCCTACTCCCTTCTCTCTAACCCTCTCCCTTTCCGACAACCCTCCCACCCCCCCATGCACCCGAGGTTACCTGGGAATCTTGTCTATTTCCTACCTCCTGGCGGATAGCTAAATAATCTTCATCAGGTTCATCTTCTTATTTAGCTTCTCTAGGATCACAAATAATAGGCTCAAAGACGTTTAATTATGGTTAGAATCCACTTATGAGTGAATACATACCATGTTCCTCTTTTTGGGTCTGGCTTACCTCACTCAGTAAAGCATTTTCTATTTCCATCCATTTGCATGCAAAATTCAAGATGTCATTGTTTTTTACCGCTGAGTAAAACTCTAATGTGTATATGTTCCACACCTTTTTTAACCATTCTTCTATTGAGGGGCACCTAGGCTGTCTCCAGGTTCTGGCTATTACAAATAGTGCTGCTATGAACATAGTAGAACAAATGCTTTTGTAGTATGTTAGGGAATCTCTAGGGCATATTCCCAAGAGTGGAATTGCTGGGTCCTGAGGGAGGTTGACTCCCAGTTTCCTGAGAAACCGCCACACTGATTTCCACAGTGGCTGCACAAGTTTGCATTCCCACCAACAATGGATGAGTTTTCCCCTCATTCCACATCCTCTCCAGCATAGGCTATCATTGGTGTTTTTGAGTTTGGCTATTCTGACAGGTGTAAGATGATATCTCAAAGTTGTTTTGATTTGCATTTCCCTGATTGCTAAGGAGGTTGAGCATGACCTTAAGTGCTTTTTAGCCCTTCGAAGTTCATCTGTAGTGAATTCTCTGTTCAGTTCAGTACCCCATTTTTTAATTGGGTTAATTAGAGTTTTAGTGTCTAGTTTCTTGAGTTCTTTGTATATTTTGGAGATCAGACCTTTATCTGTTGCAGGGTTTGTGAAGATCTTTTCCCAGTCAGAAGGTAGCCTTTTTGTCTTACTGACAGTGTCCTTTGCTTTACAGAAGCTTCTCAGTTTCAGTAGGTCCCATTTATTTATTGTTTCTCTTATTGTCTGCGCTCCTGGGGTTCTGCTTAGGAAGTGGTCTCCTGTGCCTATGTCTTGTAGACTACTTCCCACTTTCTCTTCTATCAGGTTCAAAGTGGTCGGATTAATGTTGATGTCTTTTATCCATTTGGACCTGAGTTTTGTGCATGGTGATAGATATGGATCTATTTTCATTCTTCTACAGGTTGACATCCAGTTATGCCAGCACCATTTGTTAAAGATGCTATCTTTCTTCCATTGTATAGCTTTAGCACCCTTGTCAAAAATCAGGTGTTCATAAGTTTGTGGGTTAATACCCGGGTCTTCTATTCGATTCCATAGGTCGACTTCTCTGTTGTTATGCCAATACCAAGCTGTTTTCAATACTGTTGCTCTGTAATACAGTTTGAAGTCAGGGATGGTAATGCCTCCAGAGGTTCCTTTATTGTATAAGATTGTTTTGGCTATCCTGGGTTTTTTGTTTTGCCATATAAACTTGATTATTGTTCTCTCAAGGTCTGTAAAGAAGTTTGATGGGATTTTGATGGGAATTGCATTGAATCTATAGATTGCTTTTGGTAGAATTGCCATTTTTACTATGTTGATTCTCCCTATTCAAGAGCAGGGAAGGTCTTTCCATTTTCTGGTATCCTCCTCAATGTCTTTCTTCAAAGACTTAAAGTTTTTGTCAAATAGGTCTTTCACTTCCTTGGTTAGAGTTACCCCAAGATATTTTATGCTATTTGTGGCTATCATGAAAGGTGATGTTTCTCTGATTTCCCTCTCTGCTTCTTTATCCTTTGTGTATAGGAGGGCTACCGATTTTTTGGAGTTGATCTTGTATCCTGCCACATTACTAAAGGTGTTTATCAACTGTAGGAGTTCTTTGGTAGAGTTTTTGGGGTCGCTGATGTACACTATCATATCGTCTGCAAATAACGAAAGTTTAACTTCATCTTTTCCAATTCTTAACACTCATATTTATATTCTGTTGTGGTTTAAACAAGAATGCCTCCACGTTGCTGGCCCAGCTCTCTGAATACTTGATCCCCAGTTAGGAAGACTGTTTGTGGTGCTGATGGAGGAAGTGTGTCCCTACTGGAGGTCTTTGATCCTTAGAAGTCTTTTGTCAGTGCCTGTTCACTCTCTGCTTCCTGGTTGTGGATATCAGTATAAACTCTTAGCTTCCTGCTGCTGCCACTAAGCTGGCTCACTGTCATACTTACTGGCCACAACTGCTACTGACTCTTCACCCTCTGGAACTATGAACAAAGACCAACTCGGTCTCAACTTGCCTTGGTCATAACATTTTATCACAGCAAAGGAAAAGTAACTAATACGCACACAAAGAAACATTTGCATATTTAAATTTGCAGGTAATAATTAGATTTAATTGACTAATATTAATGACATATACCTATTTACATACAAATTCAAGATTACCTTAAAAGAGAGGATAAAGCAGTAATTTTTTTATTTTTATTTTTTATTTATTTATTGTTTTTGGTTTTTCGAAACAGGATTTATCTGTACCTTTGAAACCTGTCTTGGAACTAGCTCATGTAAACCAGGCTGGTCTCGAACTCACAGAGACCCGCCTGTGTCTTTTGAGGAAAAGGTAAAATTCTAAGGTGTGTTTTTCATTTATAAATACATTTTTAAGGATTTTATATAATTAGCATTATACGGATACTATGTTTTTTCATAATAATGAATGTATAGGTTTTTGAGGTTGCATCTTATTAAAAATGTACCAGAAGAGATGTTGAAATATGAATAAAGAATTACATTGAGAGATTTTGTCTTTGAACCTGCTAGGTGATAACTAAGACTGCTCTTAGCCAAATAATGCTCTCCTGTGGATGAGAGAGAGAGAGAGAGAGAATGGATGGATAGATACATAGGTAGATGATAGATAGATACATAGATAGATACATAGATAGATACATAGATACATAGGTAGATGATGGATAGATAGATAGATAGATAGATAGATAGATAGATAGATAGATGGATGGATAGTTTAATAGAAAAATAGATGCTAGATAGATGTAGATGGGTGATGGTCTCAAAAGAAAATGATTTGATTGAATGCTGTGATTTTGTTCAGATTTCACTGATTTAGACTATTTCTAAAGTTTTAATAAACTGGTTGTGATTAGAATTAAGAGACTTGCTGGATGGTAGTGGCACATGCTTTTAGGATCTCTGTGAGTTTGAGGCCAGCCTGGTCTAAAAAGTGAGTTTCAGGATAACCATACGTGTAAAAAAGTCCTGTTTTGAGGAAGAAAAAAAAAAGAATTAAGAGATTGGCATAAAGTATGTACTTTACCAACCTTAGCTCTGTTTTTCTTTCACACGTATTGGACTGGGAAGGGAGTTTTTCACCTGCAAGTAAGATCAGGTTAGGTGCATGTCATAGGAGGAAGACCAGTATTCTTAGATTACTTTAACCTCTTTAAAACACAAGGGCACACAAAGAAGACAGTAAATCTACTGTTCAAAGACCTAGAGGGTGCGTTGTCTGCAGAGAATTTAAGCACGGTCATAAAACCAACCCAGAGTCTGTCTGATTTTTATTAATACCATTCATCATCTCATTAATGAAATACCCTCTGACTGGGAGTGCAGGCTACCACCCCACCCCCACTATTGAAAGGGATTATTTTCCTTAGACTAGCAGCATTATAGAAGTTATCTGTGTTTCATCCAACAGAATGATTCTCTCGAAATGAAAACATTACTTTTGGAAACTACCAGTGTGGGAGGCTACGGTATTCTGCCAGGAGTTGAGCCAGAGGGGAAAGCAGTTATAGTCCTCTGTTTGTTCCTCCTTTTAAAAGTCATCTCATTATCCATGGCCATGCTCACCTTAACATAGTCAAGATGCCTGTTCACAACTATAGCACCCACTTCTTTACAACCTTGCATCTCTTCGACCTGCAAGTAAGTAAGAAGTACGGAATGGTGTCAGACATACTTTTTTAAAATAATCACAGAACTTAGTTCATGGTTCTGAATCAAATGGTCACTTCCCATTTTCTTTTGCAGGATGAATTAAAATCTCAGGCACTAAACTTTTACCCCACTGCCATGCAATGAGGCATGAGTGGCCCATTAACTGGTACAATTTATTCAACGTGCACTAACATATTTCTCATCTGAGTCAGGTTTCTCCTTTAAGTATGGAATAATTTTCCATTCCACCTAAGCGCTGTCTTTTCTTGAACACTTTCTACATTCAGGATTTTTGTTTTATTTTTTACATGAGTTAAAAAAATTCAAAAACTCACGAAAGAAACAAAATGAGTGCGTCTGTTTTATACTTTGATGCATAGTATATGCATGGGGCATATTCTGTTTTAGTTCATAAGCCTCTAATTAGAATTGAAACTAAGTATATAAAACCCTAACAGTAAAAGATTACGATATTAAATGAAAATAAAAAGAAAGTTGCCAGCTTGGATTTCAATATAAAAAACTGTGGCTTTTGATTTGGTGATAATTCAATAATTAAATATTTGATCACAGATAAGGACCAAAATGTACCCGATTCCATGTTTTCATAAAAGTGTATACATGTGTATGAAGGGCACATGGTGTGAGTATGTGCACATGATGTGAGTATGTGCATAGGCATGTATGTCGGTACATACTTCCATCTATAAGCATGTTGGGGGTTAATGTACTTGAAGATAGGAACACAGCAAGAAAGAAAGGGTGATGTGATGGGCCCCTGTGAAGGACAGCCCTGATCCATCATTAGCTGACCTTGAGGGAGTCTCCTTCATCGCCAAAGCTGTTGTTTCTGTGACAAGAGGCTACACAGTAGAACTCATTTAACTCAAGCTGGACATATATGCAAAAATTGGATGGTACTCATTAAATAAAGTCAGCGTGATGCTTAGGAGTTTCACAGTGAATCTAACTCAGGAGAAACACCATCATTTTTATATACAGCCTCTGGAAAAAATCAGTCACCTTTACGCTGTAAACGTTAGGTTTGTATCCTGTGACTACAACCTATGCAGAGCTGCTTTTGCCTGTCCACGCTTCTGCCCTAAGCAAGCGCTCTGTCCCTGAGGAGGGCCTGAGAGAACACCAATGCAGGACGGAACAAATTACCAAACGAAGTGGTGCGCTGTATCAATTCACCATTTGGGAACTTGAAAAGATGGTTGTAGGATCAATAAGAGACTTCTTTAAATGGCCACCTAATTTAGTTCCCACTCCCTAAACTCTGTGCTGCAGTTTTATTATTGTTGTTGTTGTTTGTTTGTTTTTACTTTACTGCTTTCCTTGTCTTGTTTCTAATGGTACCTAAGATATGTTTATTTCCTAAATTTGTTCCAGTCCATCATATGTCAGTCTCGGAATGGAATAGGAATTCTTCTTCTGTTTTTCCTGTTATCTTTCAGTATCTGGGACAAAATGTGGCCCATAATATCTCTTCATAAATGTTGTTGCATTAAGATATATAAGACTAAGGACCAGCGAGTTGGCTCAGTGGGTTAAGGCGCTTGCCACCAACACTGAGGATTTGAGGTTAATCCCTGAGATGTGCTTGGTAAGGGAGAGCACTGATTTTGGGGTGTTGCTTGGCCTTGACCTCCGCATTGCATACTCTGGAACATCTATGCCTAAATACACACACAAATGTAATCAAATTTAAAAACACACAAAAGGCCGAATGACCCAATATATTAAAATGACAATCATGAATTGTTTTTTTCTCCGCTCTTCCCAGTTACTTTTCTTTTAATGAATTGTTTGATGACTTTGAATACAACCAAAAAGCTTAAAATGTTCCTTGATTCTAAAATAGCAACACAAATTCAAGCTTAATGTTTATAAATATTTGCCCCATGAACCCTTGTTAGCAGACAAAATAAGACAGCCTTTGAATTGTTCATAAATTGAGCCAAAGGACGGTTTATCAGTAATTCCAAAGGTAACTAACAGAGGGTCAGTTTACAGACTCAGGCCCGCAGCTGGGTCAGATTGCCTTCTCCATGTGCTTCAGCCTCCCCGCAGTGCCCCAGACAATCTGTCTGTCATCACAGAGCAGGTGGCCAGCCAGGACTGTGCTGTGGATATAGTGACTCTGTCAGTTGCTAACCGGGATCTGTACTGCAGGGACAAGAAGGTGATGGGAATTAAGTTGCAGTTTGCAACGGATAGGGGCCAAAGAGTTGTATCTTACAAGAGAAATCAGCCTTGTTCCCACATAGCCCAGTCCCCTGGGAGTAAACATTATCCATTCTGCTAATTTATCTGCTGTGCACTAAAGCTTTTTGAGATTCTACATGTGGGATGAGTATTCTCCAAGATGGATATGCTCTACTTATGGACTGGGCTTTCTTGATACACTATTCCAATCTGTTTATGCGTCTTTGTAAGGTAACTTGCAGTATTCACTCCTGCCTCTTAAAAACAGGAAGGCCACAACATACACATACAGGCCTGTTTAAATTTCCAAGAGGAGTTTCTAGCTTTGGTTGTTAGACATCAATATTCAATAGAGTTCCAGAGTAGGAAACAATGTGCTAAGTGGATGGGACCATCTATAGATGTCTACTGAATTTGTGACTTAACCTAAGGCAATCATTTTTAGCCCTGACTGGATCTTAAGACAACCAAGAGAATCTAAAACAAAAACCAAAATGCCCCCAGTAAGAGAATCCTCTGAAATACAGTGTCCAGACATGACTTCTCAGCAGGAAAAAGACAGCATCCAATGGTTCAGTCTTGGCTTCAGCAGCTATTTCTTTTCCTCAAATTAACGAAATAAGACATATATGCAGTCAAACTTAGGCAAATGAATCTCTGTGTATTTTCTTTCTCAATCTACAAAATAGAAGTAATCATAGTCCTTCTGACTAATGTATAATGATCTCATATAAAATTAAATTATAGGGAGCAAATATTCTCAGTGCCTCCTCAAATAGCCTGCCATTTATTTAGCTGAGCATTCTAAGAGATACAGAAACAATTCCAAAGATAGTCATGTTCTTCTGTGGCCGAGTGGAATTGATGTGGGGAGGAGATTTTAGCTGCTGACCTTCATTTGCTCATGATCACTATGTCCTTGAATTACATAGCATGAGTCTGAGTTCACAAAGAGATGAGAACACGCTGGTTTGTTATTCAAGCACCTCCACTAGCAGCAGAACTAGCACTGATAACATTGTGCATTTAGACACCCTGAGGTTCATTCTACTTTGCCTCCAAGTCTCTTTGCCCTTTTCATTTTGAACAACTGTTATCTGGGACTATGGCAATCCCCAAAACACTGGCATTTCTCAGAAGATTCTACCCAGTAGCCAGCAACTGAATATGTAATAAGGGAGCCATGCATCAGGGGTGGTATGTCATGAAGGCGATTTATTAAAATAGCTGATGTATGACCTTCCAGGGGACAAGACCTCAGAAGTGAACGCTGAGGAGCAGCTACCTGGTACAGAACATTGCAAGCGGCTCATCTTCAGGCCTGTGATGGGGAGGCTTTAAAACAATGTTGAAGAGAATCTGTTGAAAATCGATGAAGAGGTTTTGTACCATAGATAAGGTCTCCTTGGAAATCATTAATGCGAGCAAAAACATCATAGTTGTATTCAGAATTGTTCCCAATGCATTCCTTGATACTCCCAATTTTAATAAGGTGCGAGCAAATTGTATGCCTAGCTGTAAAGAGCAAAGGAGTATTATCAGTAAGTATAGATATACCGAGTCCTTACAAAATTAGAGCATACAAGTGGTGGCCTTTTTAATTTGTTACAGAAGAGGAAAATGACTCCCTGATGTGGAAGCCTGTTTTCCCTTGGTTTACTCATTGAATAGGTGTAACAAGGACCTCGACACAGTTGTTGCCAATAATAAAATGTCCCGGCTCTAGAACTCATTGCTTAATCTCTTTTTATTTGTGTGACTATGATTTTGATAGCATTTCACTCTCAAAAATAGTAGCAAAATCATTTGCTGAGTGACTTCTACAATCAATAACTCGTGAAATATATTATTTATATTTTATTCTTCGTACAGCTTTTTGAAGGAGACTTTGATGATTCTAGCTTCTCTGACAAAGATACGGCGTTCTAGAGGTTAAGGAGCTTCCAATGGTCACAGGTCCAGAGCAGAGTTGGGAGTCCAGGGCAGATATTTTGACACTTAAGCACTGGATCTTTTGTTCTTTTCTGTCCCTACAAAAATTCTACCTTTCAGCTACTGTTGGTAAAGTTGGAGGATATGAACTAGATATTTCCTTGGTATAAAACAAAGCAAAACTGCACAATGAAATTGTTGGATAAGTCCTAACTTTAGATAAAGGTTTCTCAATGTAGAATCACAGGTCCCTGATGCCCCTAAATCTGGGAAAGCTTCAATGTCTCAGTAGAGGAAGTGGACGACCCCTCGGTGATAGGGCACAGAGACAAGGATTCCCACTACCAGTCTATCATGAAGTTGGTCACACTCTGTCAAGCTCTGTGTGCACCAGCACTGCTGGATAGAGTACTAGACTGGTATTTTAGCAAGTCAAGACACGGCAAAGAAGTGTTCAACTGCAAGGCTAAGACTCAAGGGACAAAGACCAATAGCCCTGGAAGTCAACACAGACTCCCCACAGGCATTCCTTAAGCAAATATCCTTGGATTCAATCGGTGGCGAAGGAAATCTAAAGGACAAAATGAGGTGCTCTGTGGTCAGTGGAGGTATTTAGGCAGAGAGTTAGCTACTGTGTTCTGTTCTGGACAGTTTGGTGTACTGTAAACCAGTTCCTGAATGCAGAAATCTATATAAGACAGAGTTTAAGAAAGAGCGGCATGAAGTAAGTGGTAAAGGCTGAAAGTAGAAAGGAGAAGGGGGATGACCAGGACTTAAGTAACTGGCTGAATCTTAATGAAACTTCTAGCAATGGAAAGAATAATAGTATCTCTGGTCAAGGCATTGACATCAAAAGGAAAGGAACTGTAGTAGAGTACTTGCTTTCTCCATGATAAAAATTATTATGGGTTTCGACCCAGTATTAAATGCAACATTTTTAAATGTGTAACTCTTGGTCTCCTCTTTTTGGAAACTGGATAGAAAGTTGGATATAATTCGTGTCACTTATATTGTTTTGCAGTGAATTTTCTGAAGGCTCCAGAAAAAGGTTTTCTAGGAACTAACTCATGAAAACCTTAGCATGCGTCGACTTTTGGTAGCCATCTTATGCAATTCACTAAGTGGTTGTACCATGCTTTTTAGCTAGTGATATAGTGAAAACTAATGCATGAAAACTCAGGTCTAATGGGGAAAATATAGCTGTCGATATATGAGAATACCATAAGAGATGGCTATTAGGACTTTTGTGACTGGGATAGAAACCCCCACTTTCATAAGTGAGACAATGCTTCTTCTTTGTCCAGATCCAGCCTGCAGCAGCCTCACCATTTCTTTAAGTACAGCTGAAGTCTCCCACAGCCCTTTGTGGGTGATGTAGACCTTGATAATTCTTGCAATAAAAATCCAGCCATGTATGACATTTGGGAGAGAGGGAGCAAAGGGTTTAAATTGCCTTGGGGCGCTAGAACCATTATAAAGTTGGCTTTAATGAGAAATGGAAGACAAAGAAAATTAGGGGCTTGGATATTAAGTCAAATCAAAATGGGTACCAAATTACCAGGCATGGGGCCGCATCTTAATGGTTCTAGATAAAAAAGAACACTTAATGTAGGTTTTCTCCAAGATTCAAAATTTACTTATCAATTTCAAGTAGAAAAAAATAAAGAAAACAGGATGCCACTTTAATACTTCTTAGACACTGCCACGGTGGACTTAGGGTACCCTAAAAAGACCAGCCCTTTTGCCACACTATGTTACAAACATACACTTTCAAGAAAATTGACGCATTCCCTAGGCAAAACTGCTTCTCACACTGCACACAAGATCTAGCCCAAAGGAATACAATTCACTCACAGGTCTCTTCCATTCGTTCACTCTCTTCCTTTACCTATGTTCTCTGCCCTATGAATGGAGTGGACTCTTTCCCTACAAGTTTCTCCCTGTGTCATGTAGATGCAGCCACTTTTCTTTCAAAGCCCATTCCTTGAGTGTGAGCTCAATAGCAGGCTCTCACTCTCTCTGAAAGTCAGAGTTCTAAAGCAATTACTAGTAGAGGCATACGCTAGCTGAGAGTCATGCCATGTGTCAGTAGTCTGTGCAATCTCACAGAAGCCTGCAGAGATAGCCATGGGGCCTGCAGGAAAAACCCTGGACCCAGCAAAGAAAGGAAACTGTTGTCAGGCAGGAAGAATTCCTGGGAATGTCGACAGAAAAGGCAGCTTGGAGTATGTTCTGCCAAGCTCAGTGCCCATGAGCACTTAGAAGGGCACCACATAAACTTGCTGTGTGTGGTGACGTCCTCCCTCAGAGGGCACCCATGGCTTGTGACATTCGCTAGAAATGGAGGGACTGCCCTGAGCAAGAAACTTCATCGCCAGGAGATTCACATCCACGTGGACCTTAGTGAAAGGATGCTTGAGCCCAGAGCCCTGATTCTTTACCCTCCTTGAGCCGAGGATGGACCAGGGCACCTGAAAAACCATTCCCTGGTACCTGCATTCCACCCCATAGATTGCCAATTCGGGAGTCTGGGGTGTGGCCTGTAAGGTGGGATTTAAAAACCCTCTCCAGCATAGCTGAGGTGCAATCAGGCTCAAGAGTCCGGTATGGGCTTCTAGAGAAAGGCTTACTTTGTTGCAGAGTCACTGATTCCTGGAGTCCTAACCTCTCTTTGCTTAAGGCCTGACAGCCAGTGCTGCGCTGTAAGTATTGAGGGGTAAACTCTACAGAAAGACTTGAACTCCCCACCCCTGTCATGCTTCCTCTCAGCTCTCCCTTCTATCCCTCATCACATAGGCCCCTGCCATGGCACTCACCTACCTTTCTGGGCAAACCACAAGTGTTGCTTTAAAGGCGCAAGCCTGCAACTCTGCTCAGAGTCTGTGGCAGCTTGAGAGTGTGCAGCATTTGAGCCTGCAACCCCAGGTGTATCTGATGGGCAGCCAGGTTTAGGTGTCACTGAGCTCCTCAGTGGGTCTAGCCCTTCATCCTGCCAAGTCATTAAGGATTTGTAAGGATGAATGAGCTGCCGTGAGAGCAAGGGCCTGCTGCAATGCTCCTTTATTAATTATGGGGAAGTGATGTATTGGCAATGATATGGCTTCTCTTGGAAAGGACAATGAATGATTCGTCGATTGCTGCATTAGGTCTTTCCTGACTCAGTCTTAACGCTCAGTTTCTTACTCCTGTCTGTAGTTAAAAGCAGCATAGCCTTCATACTAAAGGGCCTCTTGGTCTTTATTCCCATGGAAGCTGCAAGGTGTGAGTGAGATAGCAACACCTTGAGTCTTTCCGAGATTTCCACTGGGAAACCCCTGTCCTCGTCCGTATTTGATCCACAGCATCTAGTAGCTAGCATATAATTCTTCCTATCTCAATATGAAGGCGAAACACAGAGTAAGGATTTAAAAAAAAAAAAAACATGGTGATATGCCGCCAGATTCCCTTTGCTAAAAAGAAAGCTTCCATTAAAAGAGGACTAGAATGTGGAGGAAGAAAGATGTATCTGGAGTAGCAAATTTGGGGGTAAGGAAAGAGTAGGCGAGTTGTATGGGGCGGCGGGGGGGCGTCAGGTTGTCTATGGATTAGTCTAGCAGGGTTCAAAAGAAAAGTTGCAGTAGCTCATATTTGTGCGTGTCTGTGTCTGGGTGCGGAAGAGAGCGCTGGCTTGCGCGGTGGGTACGCACTGCGGGGGCCCCACGGCCAGGGAATCCAGTCACTGGTGGAGCACAGGAGACCCGGTGGCTGCAAGGGCTACCCGCCCGGCTCGTGTTCCCACAAGGCACCCGGGGGTGGCGCGCGGGGTCCAGCTAGGCAAGAGGCGGCGAGCCCGGCGCGTGCGAGCCAGTGCGAGGCTGCGGGCGGGCGGGCG